CACCCTCCACCTCCACCCCTCTCCACCTCCACCCCTCCACCCTCCACACCCTGCCACCCCCTCCACCAGTAGTAGTAGCAGTAGCAGTAGTAGTAGTAGTAGTAGTAGTAGTAGTAGTAGTACAGTGGTAGTAGCAGTAGTAGTAGTAGTAGTAGCTTTTTAGCTTTCCTCGCAGCTAGGAAGGATCCTGCGCCGTGCGTCGGGAACGAGCAGATATCTGAGACATCCGGAGCTGGGGCTCCCAGTCTTGTGACTGGCTCTTTCGAAAAGCCGAGCAACGAACACACACCGCCTCGAAAGGCCTTAAGAGCATGTGTGTTGCCCATATCTAGACAAAAGATCAGCGGGTCATCAGCTTGCTGTTTGCTGCAGTAAGGCTCTACGGACATAGAACAGAACGTAGCATACTTTCTCTTGTCCCGGCTGAATCTCCGCTTGCCATTTGGCAACCCTGTCGTCATTGCATAGCCAGTATCCGTCCTGCAGCAATGTGGCAGTGTAGTGTCCCGTGTTTGGGAATGGTCCATGATGTTCAATGAACGCTGCAAGCTGGAATTCTTGCGGACTGGTATTGTGCCTCTCCCCGTCGAAGACCGGCATGCGCAGCACAGATTCAAGCCTTACCTTCACAGTATTCTTGCATGTTCTCCCCCGTCTGCGGTAGAAACGAAGCAATTGTAGCATAATCACTGAGGGTGTGACAGTAAGCCCCTGAAAACGGTCCACACATCGGTGCCAGTCATCCACCAATGCTTGCAACCTGAGTCTGTGGCCAGCTTTAGTGGATTGTGGTAGATGTAGGAGTATCGGCTGAGTACACGTCCCCTGGTCCAAAGGACGTGCTCCCCGTGCCATAGCCGGCGATCTCGCCTGCCATGTGCCTGCTAGCATAGGCAGCTGGATTTTGCTGGTAATATGCTGTATGAATTCTCCGACATCATGTTGGACGTGCACCTCACCCCAATCATCGAGCATGAGCCGCCACTGCCCATCCTTCACCAGGGGTAAGGGCTCGGAGAACTGACCCTCAGCTGCTTGCTTGAAAAGATGTGCGCCCGGCCCTTGAACACCGTTTGTAAAGTCCGGAATGAGCTCCATCAGCCAAACCATGACCTGAAAAGTTGAGTTCATGTAGCACAGGGAGCTTCTGTTTTGTAGAACAAGCTGTGTTGTGAATGGTGGCTGAGTGAGGAACATGGATGCCGACATCATCGGCGCCCGTACATCATGTCCATGATTCTCTGCTCCACCGGCCCTCGCCCCAACCCCTCGGTTTTGTAGCCTAGGCCCACCAACTGAAACACCGCATTGCCCTGCAAGAGCCTCATCTCGTCCCACAAGGTGAGTGCTGGATGGCTCCTTAGGGAAAGATCCATCTTGTACGTCGCCTGTCCCACCATGGTCTCCGTCATCTTCCGGGTGCAATGGAACCTCGTCAGCACCGGGTGCTTTAGGCACTGCAAGATGGTGGATAAATGATCCAGAAGCTTGTCCTCCGGGATGGGTGGCCTGGAAGGGTCCACTTCCAACTGCCTCGTTCTGGGGTTCCACATCTGATAGCGCCAGCCCGTTGCATCCCTCCATCCTTGGTCCGTGACCCTCCGCAGGCGCTCCTGCGTAGCGATCGTGTTGTTCAATCGACTGACCACCTCGCGGAACAGAGCCTGGGCCAAAACCATCCTGAGAGGCTGTTGACCCAGTTGCCAGGTGGGGTCTGCTTCCTGCTTTGTTTTGAAAGCAACTGCCGTGGAGTAAAGGTGATGCAGGATAGAGTCCTGACCCGGCCGCATGAACAGGATAAAGGCCGTATCCTGTCTCAGCACTCTGAGCTCCTCTTGCTGTTTCAATACCGTCTTGGCCAGGGTGAAAACGAGCGGGTCCCGGTCCTGGTTGCGGTGATGATGGTGTTGATAAGGTTGGTACGGCGGCGGCGAGGTGTATTGCTGGTTCCGGTCCTCGAACGGGTTGCGGCGACGCTTGTTTGGTGTGGAAAAAGGCCCGAAGGGTGTGTTTCTGGCTGCCGTCTCGCCTTGTCGTGGCCTGTTCTCCTTGTCCCCCGTTTCCTCCGGAATTTTGAGTGAGCCGAAAAACTCGTCCATCTCCTCGTCCTGCATCATCTCGGGCTTGATGTCCGGTAGCATGTGTCTCCTGCATCGCACACATAAACGAACATTGCCATAGTACCGTGCATTTATGGAAGTGCGCCTTCCAATCCTTGGTCTGCCTCCGGCAGAAGTGGCACGGGACGCTGGCAGTTGCTCGTTGATCGATGATTTGTTGAGTTTTACGGCTTAATCTCTGGAAAAGATCTGAGTGTGTATGCTGGTAATGCCTCTTCATGACTTTCTGAGAAGCAATCCATTGGCCGCATAGAGCACAGTTCTGCATCAATTGGTTGGTGATGTCAGGCTGATGAATAAATGCATATAGTCCTTTGCCAATTAGCGCCTGCACCTGTGGTTGTTCATACAGAGGAATCAATGTAGTGGTGGACGATAATGCATCCTGTTGGGCAGGGGTAATCACTGCCGTCTCTGAGCCAACCTGTACTGAGCCATTCTGCATTGAACCCACCTCTCTGTCCACAACATGTGTCTGTTGTTGCGCCAGCATATTTTCTGCCGTAACTGACTGCTGCTGGTCAGCTTCAGCAGAGATCTCCACCTTCTGAGGATTCACAGCCTTTGCGGGCTTGCCAACACAACCTGGACAGGAGTCGTTATTGATGTGATTAATGAGTGTCTGCCACTTGGAAAACTTCCTCATACATTGAGAGCATTGCGGTAGACCACCTACTGAGTGCTTGATTCGATCGAAGATAGGTCTTGGCTCCGTAACAAGTTTATGTGCGCGGCGTGCATGAATTTTCAATGCAGCCGTGGATGAAAACTGCTGAGAACAAACCGGGCACATCCATACTTGGTTCTCCGCATCCGACTCTGGCTCAGGGTCTATGCTGGCTTGTCGTAATGCCACCGAAATTTGTTCATTCCACTCCGCACTTATCATCCAGTCTGTCTGTTGATCAAGGTCAAGTTCTCTTTGATGGGCCTTATAGAGTTCCTCGCTGGCACTCTGTATATTGAACTTGTTCATGATTTCAACATGTGTGGTGCCTGTGAGGAACGCTTGGTCCGAAACTATGGCTCTGATGTGCTTCATGATGGCTCGTTGTAGAACTTTGATGTGTCCTGAAGTCAGACATAGACAATGAAGTGCGTACATCATAGTGGAAAGAACGCAGCTGCGCCAAAGCTGTAGCTTGTACTTGACCGACATACGTTTTGTATGAAGGATTGAGGCTAAGGCCCATCTCCGATGATGCGCCTTGGCCGTCCTGTGTCGTACAGATTGTAGCTCATAGTTATCATAGGATATAATCAGTCCCAGATATTCGGTCCTGTCCACAAGTTGAATCCATGCGCTAGGATCGCCGGGAGCAAGTAGGAGTCGTTTCTCCTGGCCTTGGGCGCGAACGTACAGTTTGTGGATTTTGTGCTTCATGGGTCCCACCACATTCATGATGGCCTTAGTTTTGTGCGTGTTGACCTTCATGCCCATTCGCCGAAAGATGGCGATGACCCACCTGAGCTCAACCACTGCTCGCTCAAATTCCTGAAAGTTAGCAAATTGCCATCTCAAGTGTGAGTCGTCAGCGTACAGCGTCGCGTGGTCTCTGCACCATCTGTCCTGAATGCGATGATCTATGGCTCGGCTCAGGAGTGCCGTGAAAGCTGCCCAGAGGATGGGACTCCCGATACAGCCTTGTCTGAGTCCCCATGAAGGCCAGACTTCTTTCTCCATGCCCTTGTGCCGGAACTTGTATCGTACCTGTCCCAGCCACTGAAGCAGGACCTCTTGCACAAAGGGGTCAATACGGGCTAGCTCCAGTGCCTCCTTGACCGCATCCCAGGGCACCAAATCAAAGGCAGCTGAAAGGTCCATGCTGATCTGTAACCCTCCATAGTCACCTGTTCTCTCTATCCCTTCCTTCTGTTGGTGCAGCGTAGTACGTTGCTGGGCGCACTTGCGCCGCACCACATCACAGTGCTGATATACCCTTTTGAGTGCCGTAAATGTACTCCTGTGAGGAACATATGCGCATTGCGGCCATTCCTGGACGAGTTGATTTATCTGATGTCTGGCCTGATTGATGACGATCCGCATAATACTCTTCCCGATGGGGTGTTGGAGGCCAATTGGCCTCCAATCGAGCGGGCCAGCATTCTTGCCAGCAGGCTTGGGAATCAGAACAACTGTGGCGTCGGCCCAAGATTGCTGTACTTGAAGTTGGGGTTGAGCCCAGTGGAAGTTCACCTGATCAGCGATAAAAGCCGAGACCTCCGCTGAGCATGCTTTCCACGCCGCGGCCGGGGCCGCGTCTGGGGGCACTGCCTTCCGCAGCGGTAGACGGTCCAGTTCATGCCATACATCCGCCGTAGTGACCTGAAATGGGTCATGCTGGCGGTCCGGCTTATGTTGTGGTTGCTTCCTTGCCCCATACCTCTCACCGAAGGCCTCTGCAATCCAGTTCAGCTCGGACTCCGGTGTCATGATGTGTCCTTGCCTGTACAATTGCAATGGTTTTGGTTTGGTTTTGGGTGCCAGGGTTTTAACCACCTGCCATACTTGATGCATGTCTCCCTTGTTGGCTGCAGTCTGAGCCTTGGTGAGCAGGTCATGTCGCCTTTGTTTGCTCCGAGCTTTGGACCGAGCTTTGTGCTCTCGGTGGAGTCGGCTGAAGTCTTTCCATTGTTTCCAAGCCTGCATGATGCCCGTTGCCGTGAACGAGTGCGATCGCATCTCTCGGAATAACGCCCACATGTCACGAGCACATTGTGCAAGCGCCGTGCTGGCCTCTGACGCCTGTGGTCTGGTGGTGTTCACAGCATAGAGTTCCTGTGCCAAGGCCATAATGCCCTCTTCAAGCTGTGTCATGCTCTGCCAGTCATTATTTTCAAGACCCGAAGCCACCGATTCCCGAAGTTTTACAAGTGCCTGTGGGGGTGGCTGCTGCCGCATGTCCAGGACGAGCTTGTTAACGTCGATCTTTGGTGGAGGTTTCGTGACAGATTTGTGCCATTGTGGATGCTGCAACGGAATGAAGCCTTGTACCGGATGATGTGTGGCGCCGTCTCTCCAGCAGGCAACCGGAAACTGCTCGCGTTGAAGAATGGCTGCTTGTTTGGCTCGATTGTTAGCATGAGATTGTCTACAGACTATATAGTCAATCTGGGACGCCAGCTTGCCAAACGTGAAAGTCGCCAGCTGTTGATGATGCGGCCTGGTCCACGTGTTGAGCACTGACAACGCGTGGTTCGCTAGCACAGCCATGAAGTCTTCATGATCTTTGTGATGTGCCTCGTTCGCCGGCATAACCCAGTTTCCGCATACCTGCTTCAGCGGGACACACGTTGTGTTGAAGTCACCTGCCAAGATGACTGTATTTCGAGCCGGCACACTCCGCAATGTGCTTTGCAGCCGAAGGATGAAGCGATGCCTTCGTTCAGGTGTTTGATTGTTATCATTGGCAGCATATTGATAGGCATTGATGATGTCAATGGGTGGTTGAAGGTTGAGCCGGAGATGTAGCAGCCGACCGGGGAAGACCGAATGGAACTGAATCTCTGAGCGTTTGACCACTTTGGTGGAGATCATGGTGAGCAGCCCGCCCACCTTGTCCTCGCGAACGTGTCCTGCAGAGTGAACAAAGTGGAAGTGAGGCGTGCTCCAGTTCCCTTCGAAGTCCCACTTGGTCTCCTGTATCAGGACAATTTCCTGAGCAGTGTCCTGCGCCCATGTTTCTAATTCACGAAGAACTTGTGAGTGTAAGCCGCCTGAGTTCCAGGTGAGTACCTTGAGAGCTCTGGCCGTGGGTGGCGTTCTGGAGATCCTGCTCATGGCTTGAGTTCTGATGGTGGTTGTCGAGAACCACTTGTACGGTCTCCACAGTCCTCGGTACCATGCCCCGCCTTCGCGGCAAGACCTGGCGTAGGCCCGCTTGTATGATCTTTTGACATGTGTGGGAATGCTCGGCGGTAAGGGTAACGCTTGCATATCCCGTTGACCCGCGTGCTTTGCCTCAGCTTCAGGTGTCCTAGCGGGGTAGACACCAACCCTCACGTCTGTGCTCCCGGAATGAACTGGCAAGGTAAGATTCAAGAGTATCACGAAAAGAAGTCTGTGATAAATCAGCGTCCTGCCGGGAGCACGGCTGGACTTGGGACCAGCCCTGGCTGCAGGTAACGTCGTAGTTCCTGAAGTTCCTGTCGTGTAGGATGACATTGTCATACAGTCTGCCCTGTGTGAACTTGCCTGGCTGTACCAGTCCACCTGGTGGTTCAGCTGGTTGTGGTTCTTGCCTGCATTTGCCAAGCGCCTGCACCAGATGAGTGTGAGCATCAGGAGGCTATAGCAATATTGTAACAGCCCTGGTAAGGATCCTGCCGGCGACGTCCATGTGGTGCTAATAGAGTACCTGGCCGCCGTAGAGCAACTGTGGGAACAATGAATGATATCTGCACGCTCGTTGAGGGAGTACTGCACAAGCTGTACCAAATCCGTAGGCATTCGGGATTCTGTTTTCCACCGCAAGCTGCTGTCATGAATCCGCGCTGTCTTCGTATTGCAACAGAAGTGTACAGAAAACCTCATCTGCCCTGTGACCGCGGGCAGAAAGTGGATACAGCTGTCCTTGTCTACTCGACTACTCATTACCTTCCCGCCGGCGCCTTGGCACACATCATAGCTCAGGACTGTCCGAAGTACCCCAGAGCACTGCCGAAAGACTTGTTGAAAAACGCACTGTAAGCACAAATAAGCCTGGCACTTTCTCCCTCTGGTAGTCTTCGGCTTCGGCTTCGGTTTCGGCTGCGGTCCGGGAACTGTTTCGGCCTCCGCGTTGGTCGGGTGGGCCGGGTGCAAGGAGTGTGAGGGCTCAGATGACAGCGGGCGGCTCGAGAGAGAGCGGTTCGAGAGCGCCGTGGATGGTCGCCATGGTGCTGCCATGCCCTCTTCGGTCTCCCTTCTTCGACTTCTGCGGATCCCCGAGGAAGGCTCTGCATCCTCGTCGTTGGAGTCCTCGATGTGGTCCTCGATGTGGTCCTCGTTGTAGTCCTCGCTGTAGTCCTCGATGTAGTCCCCATCGGTTCCCGCCAAGGATGTGGGATGTTCCACACCCTCTTCTGCCGGCTCACGGAGTCGAGATAGCCTACGCGAAAGAGCGGTGAAAGATAGCCTGCGGGCATCCGGGATCGAACCGGAAGCAGGTTCGTGCTCTTCCTCGTCATGCTCCCCTTCATCCTCACGTTCTCCATCTCCGTCTTCTCCTACATAGAGAACATTGGGGTGCAGTCCATCCGTTGGGCCGAACGCCTCCACGCGAACCACAAACGAAGACATTTCCCTCCAGGTCCAAGGGATATGTGTGAGAACCAAAATTGGTTCCACACCAAGCTCCCTTAATCCTTGAGCGACTGCAGCTGAGATCCGGTGGCTTGGCGTCGCTAAGGCTTGGACAGGCAAGGGTGGCGGAGGTCCTGCGGGTTCGCTGCGTGGTGCCGACATTTCCGTAGTGCCTGCAATCTCCGCAGAGTCGATGTCAGCATGTCCCTCCGACGAGGTATCCTGCCCCGTCTCTCGAGGCATTTGCCGGGCTACCCTTGACAGGCGATTCCTGGCGGCTTGAGCCCTAAACAGAATGCTTGGGGTAGTTGCGCTGGCAAGTGCAGTCTCCACTGTTATGTCGCTCGAACACATAGCCTGCACTAGCCAAACAAAGGGGCACCCTGAAGTCATCCTGATCGTGGAAAGCGAAGCCAACAGCCTGGCAGCAATCATGCGTGTGGCTGAGCTTGCTCGCCGAGAGCGGCGGCGCCTGCGCCTGGTCTTGCCCAAGCTTTGCTTCACTCGCCATTGCCGACCCCGTTTGCCCAGGCATCGATCTACAAGTCTCTGTTGCCAGAGTCGTTCTCCAGCTTCAGTCCAGACTGTGCAGGTCCACAACGGAGGGCCGTCCATGTGGCCACATGTGTGGAAGTAATGCAGGGTAATATAGCGCTGTCCAGCGCCACATGTGTAGTTCGTAGGGGGGATAAGGCGATCGCCTGGCTTCTCGCAACGCCACGCATGGGTGCGCAGCTCCCCAGGAAATTTCGAATTCATTAAAGAACTGGGGATCACATAGAAAGCCTCCGGCTCTAGATAGCATCGTCTCGCCCATCTGCGAAATCCAATGGTGCCGTCGTCTGGGACATTGGCAGAGCTCTTGAGCGTGCTGCTCAGATGCCGAACGAGGCATCTTGTTATGGCTGGGGAGCCAGACATTGTCATCAAACACGATTGATACTTCAGGCTGCATATTGAGGCCACCGTGGTAATGAAAGCAGAGAGCCGGAAATTCATGGCATGTCCTAGAGCACGGATCTACCTTCAGGTGGTGGCGTTCCACGCCCTTGCAGCCGAGACGCTTGTAGTAGTAGTAGTAGTAGTAGTAGTAGTAGTAGTAGTAGTAGTGGTAGTAGTACAGTGGTAGTAGCAGTGGTAGTAGTAGCAGCAGCAGCCTTCTATGCTGGCTCACTAGTTTTTCTCCAGCTCTCTCTCTCGCTCGCTCGTAGGGCTTTATGCCCCAACCGCTTGCCGTAAATAACCCTTACTTACAGTAAGCCTTTAACCTTAGTAACCATGCCTTTCGGGGAGCCTGAACGGAGCCCTTAAGGAAACCCAATAACAGATAACAGCTGTAAAGGCTCTTTAAAACTTGTTCGCTAGAGAACCCTCACAGGCTTTCGGTGTTACAGGAGCCCTGGAGCCCTTGATGGAAGCTTTGAATGAAACCCTAAACCCTAAACC